CTTTCATGTGTACTGTATAAGTGGTAGTACTGACATTCGAGCAGGGACCCAACGGCAACCCGTACAGACGCCGAGCTCATCTCGGCCCTTCAGCGTGCTTGGTTGCTTCCACAGGCTGGGCAAAGCGACCCAATTGCAGAAGCCAAGTTTGACTTGGACGGGGCAGTCACCGACGAAGGGACGAACTTCAGTGCTGGTGAACGCCAGCTAGTCGCTTTGTGTCGAGCATTGGTGAAGAACAGCAAGATCATCGTTCTCGTGCGTGTTTAGTGAAGTGCAATACAGTGCGATGTCTGATCTGGTGCAGGACGAGGCCACGTCGAGCGTTGATGTTGCTACCGATTCAAAGATCCAGATGACAATTCAGCAAGAATTCGTTTCGTCTACCCTACTTTGCATCGCACATCGTCTGAATACTATTGGTGCGTCACTCGTTGTTTGTCCTCGTTGTATACTGAGCAAGCATGTAGTGTACTATGATCGCGTGCTGGTGCTCGACGACGGAAGAATTGCCGAATTCGATACCCCGCTGAATCTGTTTGATAACCCTACTTCGATCTTCCGCTCTATGTGCGATAAGGCTGGTCTCAGTCGACGAGACATCGAGCGGATCCGTGCCGGAGTTGCCAGCCAATTGCCGACTCTCGTGGCGTCGACACCAGAGACTGCGTCGATCGCCTCAGCAGTTGAGCAGCGTACTGAGGGAGACGTCCTAATCACGCAAATGGATGCGGAGAGGACGATGGAAGCAGATACAGCACTGGAGATAGCTAACGAGGTTGGACCTCGCGCCGCGGCAACCGATGGAATACAAGCAGAACAGGGCGCCGAAGCTCTGGGTGCTCTTCGTGCAGAGACTGACCGGGAGACACAGTGAGCATGAAATGATAGAATATTATGAGTCCTCACGTACCATCTCACGCATACCATATCCTCATTTTGACTGGGTTATCATTGGCATAGAATACCTGAATACACATGTGCATTGTTCCTCGGATTACTATGCACGGTCCGACCTAATAATCCGGTCTGTATGTTGCTTCCGGGTTGCTCTCTGAAGCTGGACAATACCTTGTGATGTCCCTCAATTTTCATATCCATCATTGATCATCATCATATCCATCAGGATCCTTATATATTCCCCGCTGGCTAATCTTATTGCATACCCACCTATAACGAATCCCCTTCAACGAGGATTAAGCGGAGGTCCATCAAGTCCCCAACATGCGCATCAACCAAACCATCCTTGAGCATCTCCAGGCCCTCGAGCCCAACGCGACATTCTCAGGCTCAGGCTCGCGCGTACATTCCTCAAGCGGGAAATCCTACTTTTGCAAAATCGGTACTTCCCTCGACACTGAGCAGTATGCGGGCGAGGCGCGTGCTCTCGACCTGATGCACCAAGCGGCGCGTGGCCTGGCACCACAGCTGTATGCGTATGGCATCTCGGGCGGGTTTCCATACTTCATTTCCCAGTACCTCGACATGGGATCCTACTTATCGGACCATGCTGCACGAAGGCTAGCAAAGAGGCTGGCTACGGAGCTGCATCAGTTCAAGGATCCGGAGGGGAGGGGGTTCGGGTTCGATGTGCCGACACATTGTGGAGCGACACGGGTTGAGCGAGGGTGGTTTGGGACGTGGGAGGAATGCTTCGGCGGCATGATGCGGCAGCTACTGGATGGACTTGCGAGAAAAGGCTCAGGAGAAGTGGTGAAAGTGGGTGATCAAGTGGTTCAGAGGTGCGGTCAACGCGTTTTCGCCTTTAGCAAAGAGCCTGATACTAATCTGATAGGGTTATACCTGCCATCTTGGGAAACCTAGAGGTTGAACCTGTACTAGTACACGGTGATCTCTGGACAGGCAATGCAGGTGTAGATCAACATACGGGCGAACCAGTCATATTTGATCCAGCGGCATTCTATGGACACAACGAATTCGAGTGCGTCCTTTCGCTTTTCTGTCATACACGTCTTTGACGTGACGCAGGCTTGCGATTGCAAGAATGTTCGGAGGTTTCCCTCCTACCTTCTTCTCTGCATATAAGACTCTTTATCCACCTGCTGAACCGAAATCAGAGTTTCAACAACGTGCAGAGCTTTATGAGACATACCATTACTTGAATCATGCGCTTATATTTGGTGTAAGTGCCCGGTCACAAAGATTGCTGAACACGTTTGCTGATTCCACGCAGGGGGGTTACGCCGGTCAAGCGGTCAGTCGAATGAAGAGACTGCTGCGATATGTTGATAAAGACGAGGACTCCTCATCCGATTGAAACCGCACGCGACGTCTTTTGAAGATTGTAATATTGTCTCAAATACACACAGTTGGACCCCAATTAGAATGTACCATGAAGGAAAAATGTTCGATGTAATACATGTAGCAGTGCCTACGCATATACATTTTCGCCTATATGAAACCGCTAGGCGGTTGCGTAGGTCGCGACACAGGACTGGTTGTTGTTGAAACTGGCGAAGGCGCTGGTCGCGGCTTCTCAAAGGCTGTACTAGAAGCCTCCAACATCTCTGCACCTCCCGGAGAACCAGCACGGATTTGTGTCGACAAGCTCCCGAGCCCAGCCAAAGGTCGTGTCGGGAACGGAGAGGTTTTTCCCGGTCCTGCTGCCTTGGCTGGCATTAGCTGTGGAGAACCCTCTCGTGATGGCGAACCGGAGGAGGACCTTGTGTCTGGAAGAATGCTGACAGGGTTTTCTACAGTCTTATCGGCAGTGTCCAACGAACCACCTCGTGATGGTGATTTTTCCTTCGCCTTCATCGCTATTGCCTTCTCTGGCAGTGTGGGCATGATCCGCATGATAGGATGCGTGTGCTTGACCTCCAGGATCTGAGCGTTGTCCTCGCTCTCCATGACAGATTGTGCAGGGCTCAGGAGAGCAGAAGAGGCCACTGCAGAAGGGTACGGCGCGCTGTATTCACGGCGACCAGGTGGTCCTGCGGAGAGTAGGGATGGACTGTATGCACTTTCTGCTCCTGGAGAGACAACACCTGTAAACTGTAAGTATGACTCTTGGAGACAGCAGGCTGGGACTCACCTCCGATGAAGCTAGTGATGTCCCACTGTGCGGAAGAATCATACTGGTCTCGCTTCATGACAGTGGACGAGGCAGCGCTTGCATAGCTGTCTCCCTTCTTGTCTATGTTCCGCTTCCAGTTTGGCGGGGCAAGGGTGAAAAGGACATCATCAACAATGATATCTTCGCTCTTCTTCCTTGATTTTCCTTTGCGATCGCTCTGTTGAGTAATGCTGAGATTCGGAAGCTGTAATGGCTTAGGGACAATCTGCTTAGAGCTTGAGGCCACTGGCATGGGCATTGGCGGAGGCGAAGGGAAATTGCTAAGGGAGACACTGCTTGTACCCGAGCGATAAGAGTTGGAATGAGGTGATAACGCATACTGAGACGGCATGGAATCCCTGGCTTGCAAGATTTCCGCCACGGTCCTGTCTCTTTCGTCCTGTTCTCGCAGAGCAACGCTGAGATCTGTGCTTGGCGATGGAGAACGCATGCTGCTAATAGATTGAATCCGACTGATGGTCGGACGACCCAGAACCGAAGGCTTCGTCCGGGTACCGTTTGTGCCACCAATGATGCCTCGAGGAGCAGAGGGCAAGGCACTATCTCTGTTCGCATTGGAACCCGTTGTCTCAGTAGCAATGGGAGACCGATTCTTGGAAGAGTTGGATCTAGAGAGTGTCATTCGGTCACCATTGGTCGGTGAAACGACAGTGACCGAAGCGCCGCCCCCCTGGGATGACGTGGAAGGTTTTCTTGCTGGACCAGATGTTTGCGAGTCGAGCGTTGTCTTCCGAGAAGGAGCGTTGTCGCGGATATGCCTCTTGTCGGAGGATGGGGCTACGGCCCTGACGGGGGCACGGATAGTCTGGTCCATGGAACTGCGTTCGCGTTTATGACCACGCTCCAAATCGATCCACGCCTTTCCAGCACCAGTTGGACTCAGCACGGCGCGCTCCGATACCCATTGACTGAGTCGTTCCGTTGTAGACCATCTCTTGGCGTCAGGTCTAGCGTAGGCCACAGGCTCTGCATAGGTTTGCATCAGCGGGGCTGGGGACGGGTAACTGTACGGGAGCGTGGCAGATGGTGGCTCGGAGATATCACGGAATGAAGGGATTGTGAGAGCGGATGGACGCCGTTGCTGTGTTGGTGATTTTTCGGTCTTGCGGCTACTCTCTTTCTTGACACTTGCGTAGAAGCTGAGAACAAGAGCATAAAGTGCATATAAATACAACTGGATCGCCTCGAGGAGTCGTCCATAAGGAGTGTCGGACCACATGACTACATATTGGTTGAATACAGAAACCGTATCACCCGAAAAAAGCACTTACAACCAAGCAGATTGCCGATAGGGCCGCTAAGCCCTAGGAGAGTTGCAAATACCAATGGTGCATATGCCTTCGCCGCCTTCATTGGCGTAAAAGGTGGCGAGAACCAGATATTTAGAGTAAGCTTGGCAAGTAGAAGGCCAGTTGTGGCAATCTCCAGAATGGTGTCGAGGTCGTACAGAACGAGGTAATTGGTGAGCTGAAAGAGAAACCCAGCTCTCCAGATCAACTGCGCACGCCCGTAAGTTGCGGTGAAGAGCTATTAATTTTATCTTGCGCACCTGGGTTAGTCCAATACCTGCACTGAGTACCAACAGTGTGCCATTGGCCACCGTACCACCAAGCCCCCATCTAGCCCAACTTGCGGGGAAAGAGTTGCCGCCATAAATGAGGGCGGCAATAGATTGCCCAGACAGAAGCCAGACATAAAAGAATTTGCTGGCGTGGGAAATGGCGAGAAAAACCTCTCGAGCAACAATCAAAGGGAACATTCGGCTGACCGAGGTGGTGTTAGCCTGGACAATAACATTTGCGATGTCCATGATTGCACCGAGGAAAGCTGTGTGGATGGAAAGGATAAGGACACCAGATGACCTGTATGGTGATCAACAACTGAACGTGCCGTACTGAATCACCGCTTCACCTTGTTAGTCTCCGTGTCGTCACCAGAAACAATAGCATCGCAATACCGATGGAAGCAAGGCCGATGAACGGCATGTCAGCGAGTAAACTGCTCGCCTAAACGTGCAATCCGGTCAGCAGAGCACCGCAATACCGCTGAACAACGTACGCCAGGATCCTTGTCAGCAAGGAGCACCCCCGGAACCCCCGAAAATGGCGCAAAGGCGGAAAGTGTGGGATGCATTCCAGGAAATATTCAAATGGGGAATCGGAGGCGAGTTTGTAAAGTAAAGGTGGGACACTTTAGGTGTCGTTAGCTACCCCACAATGTTTCGAAAACCAGGCTGCTGGTTGGCCAAGGAAGGAGATATGGGTGCAGAGCGAGCACCACTTCAAGGAACAGAACACGTCTTGACGATTGGAAAAACGATCGGCGACGAATATATCATGCAGTGGGCAGACCAGCTGAGATCGCCAGGGGACAGCAAGACCAAAGAGCCTGGGAATCAAGAGGCAGAGGGCGCTGCAACTTGGAGCGCTGGAAGGGGTACACAAGGTACAAAGGCGAACGAAGGCAGAGTCCTGTCTGCGGAATTGGTTCGTGGCTACCGAGGTTATCGAACGGTCCGGCGTCGAACGACTCAAAGTCCAGTTGAACAGTGAGGCAGAACCAGAAGAACAGAAGACAGAAAAGAGGAAACTGGAGCTCAACTCCGTACCGGGGCGTGGTGGAGAGGAAGAGAGCTCTGAGCAGACCAGCACACGCGCGAGGCACGCGATTCAATCTCTCCTGTTGTCCAGCCAGCTTGGAGTAATTTCCTCCGATGCCCCCTCTTCGGAGACAAAATGCCTACAATGCCCTCCGGAGGCAATGGCCCTAAATGCCCCTCTTCTTCACATGAACGGCGTATTTGCGCGTCGTCTTTGTGGCAGTGATGAGAAACTCATAAATGAGACAGTTTAGGGGTCTTCCAGTAATATCTACATATGGTGTTATCAAGAAATTAGAATATATACTCCTGAGTAGAGGTGTTTTTTGAGGGCTATAATAACAGCAATCTACCAAAATGACTGAGATAGATTTTCACTCTTTGATTATCCAGTTTTTTCTGTTCGATAACATCCAAACCTTGTGGGACCCATGACGACGCGAATACGCAGCACATGTGAAGAACAGAGGGGCATTTAGGGGCCATTGCCTCCGGAGGGGCATTGTAGGCATTTTGTCTCCGAAGAGGGGGCATCGGAGGAAATTACTCAGCCAGCTTGCCAAGCAGGAAACCCGGCAAAAAACGCGCAACGGCGGCCGCAGACGGGTCTGAAGAGCCACGCCTTCATGATTCAGTTGAGGGAGCAGATAGGCGGCAGCTTGGATGAGAGCTAGTAGTACCGGTCATTGATTGTTGAGGTCCACGGCGCTTCCCTCGTTACGACAGTATTGACTCAGCACGCGAACCCAAGGAAACCACGGGCAAGAAGGGCCCGGACCCTCGACCGGTCGGCAACCGCAACCGGACAATGCATGACGACGGACACCTTTTATGCAGGTCAATCAGAGGGTCGTCAAGCGGTTTACGGCAGTGATTTCTCATCAGGGCAGGGATATTGATTCTGAGGATCTTGCTGCCTTCTGTGCACGTTATTTGAAGTCACAGTTGGGGTGTGTTTGAAGTCATGAAAGGGGGGTGAGATTTCGAAGCGTTGTCAGGGCAGACGATGATGTGAATAATGACAGAACGGCCCGGTCGGCCGCGTGCCCTCAAATTCAGCGCCACGCGAGAAGCGCTTCCGCCGATGCTTCTGAGGGTTCAGTGACAATTCCCGATATTAGTACCCGTTGCAGCTATGACAATGGCGTCACTTTCGGTTTACAACGCATAGATTACTGATAGAAGAAAGATCATGACTCAGGAATATAAATGTTTTGAGAAGAAACAGACCTGCCCGCCCGGCGAACTTCCTAGGGAGTCGAGTGTTGACAAAGAAACACGAAGAGGTGAAATCATAGGAGGACATAATAGGACACACAAACACGACAATCATATCCAACGAGCTGCGCCACACCTTGTGAAAAACGTTAAGAGGCCCTTTGGATTGTCACAAACGTTCTGCGAAACCATTCCCCATCGACGTGATCAAACCTAGTCCTCCGATACGTTCTCAAGCATTCCACTGAAAGCCGGGGCATACAAGCTCCTGGGTCTTCTGGTAGGGTTGATAATGCCGCTGGTCGTCATCTGATTGGCGAACTGGATGTTATTGCCCTTTGTCGGACTTGTTTGATATCCAGTACCGGTTGCTTGACGTGCAAGACCCTGAGAAGGTGAGAAGGTGCTGCCCGTCAGCTGTCGATTGATTGGAAGACCCAACCCAGTCATCTGAGGCGTCAGAGCAAGTGATTCCCGTCGCCGCGGGAAGATTGAGGTAGTGGGTCTGAGAGATGAGGTGCGTCCGAGGTGGGGCGTGCCTGTATGCGTTGGCGATAGAGGCATCACTCGCGTCGGGGAGACTGGGCGGATTGTGGGAGGAAGATCATCCTGTTGTGCCAACGTTAGCGAATCCGTACGTTCAAATCTGATAGAACAACGCATACCCAACATCTCCTACACCAGACACGTCCTCCGGCCTCCTTGGCTCCAGTGTCGAGTTTCTTCCCACAGCCGCGTCCCTTCAGTGCTTCGGGATCGACCGAATATTGTTCTTCGCCTTCACCAGGCTCGCCCTTGTTCTCTGCCCCGCACTTCAAACAGGTGGCGTGCCACCTCCCGCCACCAGGGCCAGGCACTGTACCTCTTTCCATTGGAGAAACGTTCTTCTGGCATGAAGGACAGTGCAGGCTAATACCGAATGTAGGTGACTTCTGCGGGCTGGTGGGACGTGGGAGCACCGAAGATGCCAAAACAGGGGGAGGAAAGATCGACGAGGGACGAGCTTTACTCGGCGAACGAGACAGCGGGCGTGGAAGAGCCAGGATCGCGTCCCGCTTGGATGGAGAGATGGGTGCCGGAAGCGTGTACGTGAGTTTAGGCGGCGTGTTAGGCACAGGAAGAATGGTCTTCTTCAGAGACGTGGTCTTATGCATTGAGGATACAACGTTTGTCGTCATTGTCGGTGCGCAGCTGGGATGTGCGGGCTTCTCGCCGATGAATGCGAACACAGCCGTTGCCTCCCGCCCGACATCGACGAATGCCTTCTTGCAGTAACAACAGACGAAGCATGACGCATGATATTGCTGCCCCTCGGCTGTCACGAGTGGAGCGGTCTGACCAGGAGGAGGAAGAAGTGGATTGGTGCAAATTGAACACGTCGCAGATGGGCTGATAGTTGAGGTTGGACGTGCGGTCGGGGTGCTTGGTAATTCGGCTGGCTCGCTAGCCTTCTTGGGTGTAGCGGGGGTGCCAAAGAAACCTTGCATCTCGGACATTGCCTCTTTCGTCCTCTCCCGGACCTTATCTTTATTTGAAGGCGATGCCCTTGTTTGCAATACCTTTCCAAAGCACTCTTCGCACTCTGGATCTTCGCTGATGCCGACCGTGGGACGCTTACTGAGATCTACTCCACACCCGCGACACGAGAAACACCGCCCATGCCAGACGCTGTCGCGGACGGTGATCCAGGCACCCTGTGCTTTTAGAGGGAGAACGGACTTGTAGCAAGTACCACAGGTACCGAGCGAACGATGTTCAGTAAAGCAGGCGAGACATGCGTAGGGACCAGTCGTTTCAGTGATGTCCAGGTCCGTCTTGCAAGGGTCCGCAGACTCGCTCGCAGAAAGCGGGTAGAGCGTCGAGTTGGGCGGGAAAAGCGTATTGCAGTGTGCGCATTTGAGAGGTGCAGGTGGTAATAAGACTGTCCCGTGAACTTTGGCCAGCGTTATCCCATCGTCCATTGGCACCACAGGACCAGTCTCGGTTTCTTCCACAATCACATCTTCACCCAACGTGAGTACCTGCGAAATCGCGAGCGGTTCCTTTCGGAAGTTGGAAGTCGGACGTGGGAAAGGATTGCTCAAGTCCACAGATGTTGGACGGGGGAATCGTTTCTTAGGAGAAGGGGTGGCTGGATAGCGGTCATGGACCGTATTCGGATCCAATTGCTGAAGTCTGCTGGAGTGCAGTGGGGGGGACGCGGAACGACGATGCGTGTACCTGCAAATCGTTAAAGAATTGACACACATAATACAATAACTACGCACTTCTTCTCCCATCTATCTGCTTTTTTGGGTGATCCCGGTTCACCGCTGAACTTGACAACACCAGCTAAGCAGGATTGTCAACATGGATTTGAGTCCGACATACGACGTAGACACTCACAAACAGCTGCACCTCCGCACTTGGCACATTTCTCCGTGTTAATTATGTCGCCACATCGCTTGCAAAATCCCATGTTCGTCAGAGTTCGAGACTGAGGATGGGATATGTGAGGTAGCTGGTGGGTGTACAAGGACAAAGGTGTCCTCCCGACGCGCCTTCAAGGAACGTCCAACACATCCTCAAGGGCTGTGTCTGGCGCGTGTCACGTGTAGTCAGGTGCAGAACTCTTGCTTCCGAATCCTCACGGCCACTGAACGTGCCCTTTGCAACCATTTTGGCGCACGTTGCATATATATACAGTATGTAACACGGTATATGGATTATCGTTCTACTCAAAAAGCACTATCCTACAGCGAATTGAACACAACTACCAGCTTGTCCGAGTTCTCTAACGAACTGGTCGGGGATGTGGGGTCTTTCATATGTTATCAGAGTGTCAACACGCTAACATTTGGGGCAAATTTGCTCTCCCTCAGTCTGAAAATGCAATTGTCCATTCTGTTGTAGTCCGACTACGATGTGCCTTCCCGATACGAGAGTAATCGTCATCTACGTGCATACTGATGGTGTCTCCCGATGGGTGTCAGTCCGGGCCTGATCGATTCCAATTCCATCCCCAGCTTTAATCCGAAGTCTAATCTAAGTTGTCATATGGAGTAATATGTCTATCTGAATCGTTTAGCTCTGCGGCAGATCGAACGCCTTCCCCAATTGCTGGCCCGATCAGTCAATCCTCTGGTGTCGGCGCCACGAGAGTCGGCAATTGGCTGGCAACTCCGGCACGGATCCGCTCGATGTCTCGTCGACTGAGACCAGCCTTATCGCACATAGAGCGGAAGATCGAAGTAGGGTTATCAAACAGATTCAGCGGGGTATCGAATTCGGCAATTCTTCCGTCGTCGAGCACCAGCACGCGATCATAGTACACTACATGCTTGCTCAGTATACAACGAGGACAAACAACGAGTGACGCACCAATAGTATTCAGACGATGTGCGATGCAAAGTAGGGTAGACGAAACGAATTCTTGCTGAATTGTCATCTGGATCTTTGAATCGGTAGCAACATCAACGCTCGACGTGGCCTCGTCCTGCACCAGATCAGACATCGCACTGTATTGCACTTCACTAAACACGCACGAGAACGATGATCTTGCTGTTCTTCACCAATGCTCGACACAAAGCGACTAGCTGGCGTTCACCAGCACTGAAGTTCGTCCCTTCGTCGGTGACTGCCCCGTCCAAGTCAAACTTGGCTTCTGCAATTGGGTCGCTTTGCCCAGCCTGTGGAAGCAACCAAGCACGCTGAAGGGCCGAGATGAGCTCGGCGTCTGTACGGGTTGCCGT